CCCTCCTTTTATTGAAAGGCACTTATTTCCCCTCTCCCTCACAATTTATTCCAGACACGCTAAAAGGCTGAGTAAAAACCACTGAACTCTGTTGCCCGCTTTATTTTCAAATTCAATTTAAATTTTAAATTTTAATTTTCAAACACAGGTTTTCTTTGCTTTATGTGTTTCTCAAATGCCTTCAGTATTCTGGTGTATCCTGCTGGTTACTCCAGTTACCAGTACGTTTTTTCCCCAGAGCAAACATCTACATGGAGTATTTTCCTGTGTTTGGCACAAGGAAATTGGTACTAGAGGTGAGAGAAGAAAGTCCCAAGGATGGATGAATGGATGGATGGAGGATGTGATAGCATAGAACTCCTATCACACAGGAAAGGTCAGTGATATCACCACTTTTTCTGTATTTGCATAGTACATTTGGCTTCCCCGTGAGCCGTGACCACGTCAGCGTTGGCAAACTCCACTCCAGTGTTGACATCTCTTGCAAACACCCACTTCATTCAACAAACAGCACTAAAATGCACATTAAAATATTTGAGGCGTCAGCAGAACAAAATAATACGCACATGGATATTCTACCAACATACTCATGGACAGGAGAAAAATCCTTATTTACCACAGATTAGCAGAACTCCTCTGTCAAAAGGCTAAAAAAAGTGCAGCAGCCTGAAGTAGAAACAAGCACACAAGTTTGGTCACTAAGGTCAGTGTTTCTCTCTCGTCAGGAGCTTTGTCATGCTCTCAGGAGTGCCCACGGACTGCTGTGACTGCAGCCACCCGTGTGTGGCCAGCACTGGGCCATGCAGGGACACATCTGCCTGCTCACAGAGCCTGGCTCCCCAGCCAGCAGCCCCCATTCCTGCCAGGCAGCCCTGAAACCCCTCTGACTGCCTCTCTGACTGGAGCTGATACAAGAAGCAAAGAGGTAAAAAGCCAACCTGACCCTGGGACCAGGCTCCAGCTGCCAGGAAAGCCTCAAAAATCCCCATTTGCAGCCAGCGATTGCCAGCGCCAACATCTGGATTGACTGAACCCAAGTCATGACTTTGATTTCCTGCGATTCACCTGCGAGATAAAAGTGTTCAATCAGCTGCATCAGATATAGGGTGGAAGAACAGACCACCATACTCTCTCCAGGAAATCTGGCACACACAGATATCTTGATCGAGGTCTGGCTTCCCAGTGCTCGAGGCTGCCTGCCCTCCAAGGCCATGGGGCTCCCCAAGGCACCGTGCACAGCAGGCTTTCCTAGAGGCCTGCTCCAGTAATTTTGCTGTCAGAACACCTCTTTCTAAAGGAATTTGTAGGAGGCAGAAAGGGATAATCATGGTTGAGCAGGAAAGCACAGGCTGGATGAAATCCAGGGCGAGTGCGCTGAGTTGCGAAGCGGTGCTGTGGCTGCTCGCCTGCTCCCGTGAACTGTAGGGAGATGGTTATGGATGTGCTGCAACACAACCACTGGGGTTTGCCTTTTTTCTTTTTCTTTTCCTTTTTTTTTTTTTTCTTTTCCATGAAGAGCTAGTATCCTGGGAAGCCTTCCAAGGCAGCTCGAAGGAGAGGCGGACATGCCAAAACATGATGCGCACTGGACACCGCTCCCCGCTGCAAGCTGCCAACCAGCTTCTCCAGCCAGCTGCTTTAGGAGCTGACAAGTTTTTCCATAGTCCAGGATCAAATTTAGAAGCAGTGATCCAGCTAGCAGCAAGCAGCACAGATGGTTTCTTTGTCAGGAGAGCAGCAGGTAGAGATCTTCCAGCTCAGAGGACTGATCTGTCTGGCCTCAGGTCTCCCTGTTGACTCAGAGCAGGAAAAACCTTGGCAAGATTTGGGGCTGGAAGACCCAAACCCACCCCAGGCAGGATATGCCAGATAGGTCCTTTTATCCTCCTTTAACTTCCCCCACCACCTGCACTCTGCCATCCATATATTTATTTGCTCTGCAAGGTGGAGCTGATGCCTGGCCTCTTTGGAAAGCCACCACCTGATCCAAGAGACTGTGGTGACTGCCCTTTTGCAGTCATTATGTTTGCAATAAAATTCAAGCCCATAAAACCAGGGGAAAAATCCAGCTCGAGTGTGGATCCAGCCCCGGAAGAAGCGAGAATTTCACTGGATTTATCTCAGAGGTTCTCAGATCTCAGTCTGGGCTTTCTGCCAGGCACCAAAAGCTCCCTGCAAACCCAGTCTGGAGACAGAGCTCTGCCATGGAAAATGGGTTGGGAATATCTCTGGAGGGGCTCCACAAATCCCTGTGCCCTGTAGCAAGGGCCCTGCAAGGAGCCAGCATTTGGCAGGTCCTGGAAGGGGGAACTGAAATGTTAAAGTTCAGGTCTGAGCACCAAAATCTCACCTCAAGCACCTGAGCTTTGTGCTGGGTCACACTGCAGAGAGGGACAACTCCTCTGGCTCTCCCAGCACCTGGGCTGCTCTTGAGGGCTGGCAAAGGCAGAAAATCTGTCTCCATCTCCAGCACTGAGCTGTTTCCTCACCTGCAGCGAGGACCAAACCCGCGTGCCTCAGTTTCCCCACCCGCTACAGGTTACCCAGCAGCGCCTTGAAGTCTCTCATAGTAAAACTCATACCACATGTAAGACCTAAGTACCATTGCAATATAATTGTAATAATTTCCTTTATTAAACGTGGCTTTTTCTTCTCCACCGAGTGCTTTCCCTGCTGGCTTGCAGGAGGTAGAGCAAGAGGAGCCCTGCTCACACCACTGCTGTTCCAGGCCACGTCACTGGACTCACACCACCCTCCTGCACCATATTTCTTTTGGGATTGCAACACAAAGAGCGTGGGAAGCGCGGAGGGACCAGGCCCTTGATGTGCAGCACTCAGACAAATCCTGTCGAGCTCACTCCTTCTCCCTTGCCTCTGCCTCTTTGTAGTCGTGACCTCTCCCTGGCGAGGCCAATCTTCTCGATGGCATTTCGGGGCTGACCAGGGCACTGAATGGGGAATTAGCCAGAACACAGCCTCTTTTGTTGAAATACTTCTTCTAATGTATGTAAATGGGGCAGGTTGCTGTTCCAGCCCCGGCGCCCACCAGCAGGTACGGACCTTCCCCCAGTGGCAGAAGCCCGAGCGTGGCCAAGCCCGCGTTCCTGGGTGAAACACAAGCTGCATTCCTCCTTCCCAGCCTTCCCAGCAGAGAAACATGAACGCCTCAGATAAAACCGTCCAACACTCGATATTTCACTGAGCAAGAATGCACTTCATCCTCTCTAGGATAGGGTTTTCATGCCATCTCCTCTTGCTGACAGATTACTGCCACTCAGCTGGCCTGGGGGTCTGGAACAGGACACAACACCCTACAGTGCAAGCTGGCAGTGCCTTCAGACCCTGGCTGATCCTGCTCCTGCTCTGTGCTTTCTTGAGATGCTTTTGTCCTTTACCTCTAGCGTGGTGTCACCCATTGTCCTGCATGATGATGGGCTGGCAGCCTTCACAGGAAGGTGTCAGATCGTTCTCTCATCACGCTTTGGGGCAATAAACTGGTGTTTGGATACCTCCTGGTGTCTGAGGTGGGAGGTAAAATACTCCTTCCACACACAGACTGCTACTATCAGGTTCAGGATGGAGCTTCATGGGCCCATGAGCAGGGAATTCAGGTCCAGAACTGTCACTTGAAGCCCAGGACCTGTCCCATGTTTCAGTCCACATAGTCAATAAACAGAAAAAAATCAAGGTTTGGCTAAGGGAGACACAAATCCTTCAAGCACATAAGAGTGGAGCTCCCCAGACAGACACCAGACCTTCCTGCCAGGGTGTTTTAGTAAGTAAGAGTCCATGCTGTGGCAGAGTGCAGCTGAGGCAGCCACCAGAGGAAAGACAAGGTGGGAGTTTGCTCTCCACATTCCCATTTCAATGTAGTTTTGCTTTTGGTGGCAAACACCAGAGCTACCAGGCAACAAAGACAGCAAAGAGAAGAAAAAAGGAAGAGGAGGAGACAGAGGGGGAGTGAGATCAGAGGTTAAAGGACACCCAGAGCCTCATACAAAACATTATGCTTTTGATCTTGTCCTTGATCATGAAGGTCCATCCCACTTCTGCACAATCACAGCTCATATTATGGCTTGTTTTCTCAACAAAAAGAAATACATTGCCAGAAACTGGCAGATATTGGCTCTCACACACAAACCTGAGCAAAGGTCACATTTTCAAAGAGGTCAGTACCTATTCTGTCTTCAGCCAAGGGCACAAGAGAGCCTATAAAGTCTGGGGTTCACCTGCAGCTCTGCTTTCAGCCTGAATGTAGATGAGCAGTTTAGGACCCAGCTCCTTCCACCATGCCCCAGGGGGGCAAGTTTTTAAGCAAATTGAACAAGAGGAAGGAGAGATCTCAAGGAACCAGTTTTTCTACAAGTTTATGTTGGGAAGAACAGAGGAAAAAAAGAGACCCTGTAAGTGTATCCAATCAGAGTAAGAACCAATCTGTGGGTTCACGTCCTGTTAAACATTGGAGAAACGCACACACCAGAGACCTCTTAAAAGGCACTGGCCGCTGGAGAGCTTTTAATCAGAGCTCGTATTTTCTTCAACACTGAAGTCAATCAACATCAAGACACAAGCTCATGGTAAATCAGGCATCCTAGCTGCAATGCTCACAGGGTTTTTCCCTTTCCTTTCTTTTGGACAAGGTACAAGAAATAAAAAGCTTATTTCCAAACTGTACAAATTTGAAGTGAGCAGCTGTTCACCAGGGAAAGACCCAGAGCTAATTACCAAACTCATCCAACAACCTCCTTGTGAGGCTTGTAGGATGATTCAGGTTGGAATGGGCCTCGGGGGAGGTCTGCAGCCTGAACCCCTGCTCCAAGCAAGGTCAGCTATGAATTCACACCAGCTTGCCCAGGGCTCGATCCAGCTGAGTCACAGAAGCCTCCAAGGATGGAGACTGTGCAGCCTCTCTGGGCAGAGCTTCTCCTGCAGGTCCCTAAATTGTGATGTCAGGGGCAAGAAGGTTGGCAAAGGAATCACAGAAACATCACAGAGAGCACCAGCTGATCTCCCTCTCGGGGTTCCCCACCTTATCGACTCCTATTAACACCAGGAGGACAACAGTTTTGCCAAAATCCAACCCTAAAACCCACATCTAAAAACACTAAAAACTTAAACTAACTAAAAACACCTCTGCAACACGAAGTTCTCCAGGGAAAGCACAGAGCACAACCTCCTCCCCTGCAGCTGCATTAGGAAAAATCCACCCATCGCCTGCCCATGGTGATCTCAAGCCCTAAATTTAAACTAGGAAATCAGCTGTCATTGGGAAAGTAACCTGGGTATTTTCAGCCACGGAAGAGGAGGATTCCTGGCATAGCCTGGGGCTGCTCCGTGGCAATCACAGCCCTCAGTTACCTTTTGTGGGAATAAACCCCGGGGATGGCCCCGGGCAGGTTCAGCTGGTGTGAGGTGTGATGGGTGCAGGTGCAGCCCACGCCCAGGCCAGCTTCACATCCCCTGACACAGCCAAGCCCTGGAAAGTCTTTGCAAAGCCCAAATGTACCTAAACAGTGGTTATTGGCCCCAGAAAGAGTTAGTCCCTAAGCACTGCTATCAAAGAGTTGGCTGAGTCCATAAATGCAGGCAGGTGAGGTTACAGCCCAGCACAGATGGGGGCTGGTCTCAGCCCAGCCCAGGTATTTTTACATAATATTTCCTATCTTACAGAGAATTTTACATTCTCATCCCCTACTTTCCTGCAGGACCAGAACTCATTTCCAGCAACTTGATGCACACCTTATGCCATAGGCCACAGACAGCAGGAACGGAGCCGTTTAGAACCTGATCCAATGTAGAAAAAGGCTGTGACTGTTATTTTATCCCTGGCTGTCTCAAAGCACTTTCTGAAACCAATGGTGAGGTTCAGCTCTGTCCCATCACGGGAGCAGGTGCTAAAATTTTGATAGGATCAAAGCAAGAAAGTGGTTTGTTACAAGCAGCAACTTCTTCCTGCAAAGATACAAATGCAACACATAGCTGTGCTGGTGGGAAAGAACCAGTGCTAACCCTCACTCCTGTTTCATTCATGGCCTCACTTCCCTCTGCCAGAGGCAGAGAAGGAGACCCAATCCATGGGATTGTTCTTTCAAATGAGTGAACAGAAAAGAGCCCAGAATGACTCTTATTTTCTAGACCAAGATTCAGGGCTCAGATATACGCTCAAAATATTGACCTAATTTTCTGTGCTCTGTGTCTGTGACAGGTGGGACGTCTTGCTTAGACTAAACTTTTATGTCAGTTCCTGAGCTGCCACTGTCATGGCACAGCCACATCTTGGTGAGACCAGAGCAGGGTAACAAGGACAACACTGCTGCGTGTCTTCGTGACATCTGTCCCTGGCTGTAACTCTCCACTCCTTCCCTGCAGACAAAAATGTGGCTCTGGTGACAGCTACCTCAGCACGAGGCACCTGAATCAGCTCAGCATTTTGCACTTGCTCTAGGTTGTGTTGCAAGAGCCTTCTTCCTACCAGTGTTAGGAAGTACCTGTGGTGCAGCTGCTGATTCATTCAGGTGTTTTTCTCATGTACCTCAGCAATAGATAACTGAATGATTGATAACAATCCCACCTTTCTGTCCAGCATCTCCCAGTTCCTCTTTCCCTCATTCCCTGGGCTGGTGGAGATTCCCCCTCTGTGGGATAAGAATTGAAATGCTCCAGGGAACGAGGCTCAATACTGAAATCATAGAACTACAGAATCATAGAAGAATTTGGGTTGGAAGGGACCTTAACTCCATGGGCAGGGACACCTTCCAGTGTCCCAGGCTGCTCCAAGCCCTGTCCAGCCTGGCCTTGGCCACTGCAGGGATGCAGGGGCAGCCCCAGCTGCTCTGGGCACCCTGTGCCAGGGCCTGCCCACCCTCCCAGCCAGCAATTCCTTGCCAATATCCCAGCTGGGCCTGCCGTCTGGCACTGGCAAGCCATTGCCTGGGTGCTGGCCCTGCAGGCCTTGTCCCCAGTCCCTGGGCAGCTCTCCTGGAGCCCCTTTAGGCCCTGCCAGGGGCTCTCAGCTCTCCCTGGAGCCTGAATACTTGTGCAGGGGAGCAGCCCCAGCTCTCCCAGCTTTTAAAACGCAGACTCCACTTTGCCACTTTTCCTCTGTTTGAGACATTTTCCTTCCCTCCCATTTACCCACCACTGCCTCTGTCACCTCCAAGAGCTCCTGCTCCAGAGTAGGATCCAGAATGAGCTCAATGCCCATTTATTTGGCTCCTTGCTCTTAGGTGTAACTCAACCACCTTTGACTGCTGGTAACCAGAACTCAGTTTTCCCTTAACCTCCCTCCCAATGTAAAATCTAATTTCTCAGTAATGCCTCAGATGTGATGATGGTGCCCCCAAGGCCCATTCAAAGCCTCCCAAGGTGTCCCCTTCCCCTCAGCCCTACACCCCACACTCCTGGAGGCAGAGGAAGCCAAACTGCACAGACAAGGCCTGGCCTGGCAGTGATGCCCAGAAACTTGGAGATTTCCTGCTGGAGCACCTATGGAAAATGAACAGCTTATTTTTTTCCTCTGTGTGTTCCCATTTATTCACACTGAACACTCCCCAGTGTTTCCTGTCTCGGCAGAAGCTATGTTTGCTGTATCCAAAACCCTCTCAAAAAAGCCACTAGACAGTCATGTCCCATCAGGGTGGCTGGCTCTGGATTTTTTATGGGATCATGGCATCAAACAGGTTATATTTGTACTGTTTTCACCAAAAATAATCCTCCCCACCCTCCAAAGAGGGCTTTCAAGGACAATATTTTTTAAAAAAATAATTTAAAAAGTTATTCAATCACTGCAGAATTTCTTGAAGACCACTAATGTTGCTATCAACAGAAACAATCAGAAACTATTTAGAAAACCTTGCCTTGAGTAAATGGCTCCAGAACACTCAAGAAGTCACATCCACCTGTTATCAGAAGCCACACACCTTTGTAAGCTCTTGGGTACATATAATTTAAAAAACCCCTCAACTCTCCTAGTATTAAATAGCAATTAATAAATAAGCATTAATAGTTTTTAGAGCTACTATGTGCTTTCAAAAAGATCTTTTTACTTATTTAAGAACTTAAAGATATTTTTGGGGAAGATGTGATCCCTTTTGGAAAGTTTGCTCCACATTTTTAAACTTGCTGATAAAGTCATTGCTGTTGTTGCAAAGGATCTGTCACTTCCCTGAAGAGATGCAGAAAGTATTTTTGTACTAAAAAAGTTGTGGATCATGTCCATGTTTAACACATATGAAATGCCTCATTTTTAATGATTAGATCTGGATGATTTTTGCAACCTCTTTCTATCACATCTTAATTATTTTTTTTTTCCAATAAAACAGAAATTTTCTCATGATTTCTTGAAACAAGGACAGTTCATGCATCACTTGGCAGCCCTGTGGAAGCAGTTTGTACTTGAATTTCCAGATCAAGAAATCATGAGAAAATTTCTGTTTTATTGGAAAAAAAAAATAATTAAGATGTGATACTGTTAGAGCTGGAGGCCAAATACAAATTCCACACTTAGGTTTCCACAGCTTCGGTTGATAAATTTGCTGGGATTTCAAGGCGCAGCCCCAGAATTTCGTGTTCCCTGGGAAAGCGTTGATGCACAAGATGTATCTGTCTCTTAATATGCTATTTTTCCAGGGAAACGGGCTGATTAGCCCTCAGCTGGTCGAAAATGTGCTTCTCATGGCTGTTGTCCTGCTGCGCTGTGGAAGTCCCTCAGGATTCTCCAGGGCTGGGAAGGAGGACTGGTAGGGGTTAAGGAGTAGAAGGGGGGTGAGTAGTAAGTAGTAAGGAGTAGTAAGGAGTAGTAAGGAGTAGTAAGGAGTAGTAAGGAGTAGTAAGGAGCTGCAGCAGTGGAACCACACCGAGGCTCCAGCACCAAAGCCACAGGTCCCAAGTTGCCACCTGCTCCCACTCACCTGCGACCCCAGCACCTGTCACAGCTAATCCCAGCAGGCTGCCTCAGCACCCATCCCCTTCCAGCTGTTTTCCAAAGGGAGACACAGTTTTAGGGAGTCCTGAAAACAGCCTGCAAACATCCATGAGCAATTTTCTTTAAGCAAGCCAGACATTATTAAGTGGGAAGCAGCACAAGAGCTGATATTCCACGCTTACAAGTTTTTAGAAACAAAACAAGAGCTTGCAGTAAATCATTAGATTCCAACCCCATTGGAATAATTTGTAGGAAAAAAAAAAAGAACAAGAAAAATGAAATCCTGGAGTCTATAGTTGTAGAAATAAGACACAATACCAGAAAAAAGAACTTCAGAAAGCTCATTTTTAACTCTAGAATTTCACGTTTTCAAAAGGCACTGCCCATCCCACACTCCCACCCCTGCAGAGGAGAGAGGAGAAGCTGAAGGCATTAAGCAGACATTTGCATCTATATTCTGCAAGTAGCAGATGCAAAGGAAGAGATTCATTTCCCCTAACATAAGCCATCTAAAAATTAAATGCTGATAGTCATCTTGGATTCTTTTTAAACCTAGATTAAAATAGCTGCTATGTGCAGGTCTGCCCTGCTCTCTCCCCAGAGATTACAGAAAGCACTCAAGTGCCAAACTTAAATAGGGGGCTGAAATTAAACCAGAGGTATCCCACCCTCAGCACAACTCCTGAATGCATGGCCTTGTATCCAAAGCACACTGGAATCCCTGGAAAAATCACGGCTGTAATCCTGGAAGGGTGCTTCAGTCCTCTGCTGCCGCTGAGGGATTCGGGGAGGTCAGGCTGACCTGAGCTGGTCAGAGCGACCTGCCCTGCCGGCTGCCAGCACCCCAGCATCCAGCACCCTTCAGGACAGCACAGCAAGGTCCATTTGCCTGGGCTCAAATGGAGAGGCAGAAGTGGAAGCAAAGAAGGTGCTTGTGCTCCTGATGACTGGGATTGATCCCTGCTGAGATCAGTTGCTTGGGATACTTTTACTGTCAGATATCCTGAGCCCTACCAGAGCAGCATCACTCTGAAAGCATTGGAATGAGCATCTCTGGGGTGCAAAGACAGGAAGTACAGTAAAATCCTCAAAAAAGGGTCTAACAGGGTGAAGAAAAAGAAAATACAAGGAATTTAAATGTGTCTGTGGCCTCTGTTTTTCACTGCTCTTCGCTAACCATTGCAAGCAAGAGAATGTGTGGGTGCACAGGACCAGAAGGGGAGAGGGCAGCAAGAGAAGCCCCCAGCTGCCCAAAAGGCACCACCAGGAGACTCTTAGGCATTCAAGGCAGGGGAGGGAGAAGTCCTGGAAAGGAACCCCCATTTTTTTTGCAGGAGTCTTGCACTGCAAACCCAACAGAAAACTCACGATGGAGGGCTCTGCCCTTTATCGGCGCTTTTTGAGCATCCAGCTGTCAGGGAAAGGTGAAGTGGGGAACACAGTGGGAGCAGAGAGAGGACCAAGCTCATCTGCTTTTGCTCTTTCTACTTTTTTTTTTTACCTTTTTTTTTTTTTACGTGGCAGATGCTGGTTTTCCACGCACGCTGCCAGCTCCACACAAGCTCCCTTTTTTTTTTTCCTATTTTTTTTTTTTTTCTTTTTTTTTAACACGTTCCTTTGAGAAACAAAGGTTCGACGCAAAACGCTGCCCCTGGTGAAATGTGGAAAGCGCCCGGTCTGGCTGCTGGTGAGTGCTGCTATTCATCTGACTAAGCAGCGTTTGACATTTGGGCTTGGTGGGTCTCAAGTTTCCCTCTAGTAAGATATGGGCTGACTCCGCCGCAGCCAATCTCGGTCGGAGGCTGCGGATGGTGCCGGAGGGAGGGAGGCACCAGCACATCCCAGGCGGAGCAGCACCCACGGCTGCCTAAGCGAGCCTGACCTCAGCTGCACCAGGGCCGTGGCACCGCTGCCCGGTCCTCCTGGACCTGCTGGGGATGCTGCTCAGCTGCAAATTCATCCCTTTCCCCCTCTTGATCTCTTTTTCTTTTTTTAATTTTTTTTTTTTTTTTTAACATTTTTTAATGACTCGCACTTGGTTTTGCCTCTCTTCCCCCAGTTAGGAGAGTTTTGCGTTTCCCGTGGTTTATCTTCTGTTGCAATTGGTGGCAAGTGGAAGCTGTTTTACAAGAGCAGAGCCGAGTTTGCCAACCCCAGGTCTGAGCTTGGTGCAATATAACCAGCAGCATAAAGGGAAATCCTTTCTGTCAGCCAGTGTTTCAGAATAAATCCAGTCAAATTGAAATCATACCAAAAGTGACAGGCTTGCAGAGCGCTGGCTGCGTGTTGCAAGGAGGCTGTGAGCTGAATCCACAACTCAGACATGTCCTCCCAGATGGAGAGAGTCCAAGCCAGACAACAATACCACAGTCCAGTCTTCTGAGAGGTGTAATCCACAAAGAATCCCACTCTGGGTGGATGTGTCACTGCCCAAGCATAGCGAGCCAGCTGGAAAGAGCTGGCATGTTTGCCTTTGATGAGTAAAGCATTAAGTATGATTTGATAGAGACACTTTGTGGTACTGGGAAGATCTATAACATCCTTTAATCTTTACATTTCTCTTCATCTTTTGTTCTCCTCCTCCCCACCCCAAGATTTTGCTCTAGCCAC